TGCTCTCGCCAGACAGACAGAGAGAGACAGAGAGATAGAAAGCGAGAAATCACCCCCCAGGGGGGATGGTCACGCCGCAATCCCTTCTCCTCCATTCTCCTCTCGGGATCTTGGGCCCGCACATTCTCCTCTCGGGATCTTGGGCACGCACGCACATGTGCCCGGCATGAGTTTTTAAGCCACCGGGTCCGGGACGCGAACCGCAGTTGACTACGTGGGAGTCCAGCGACATAGCCATTACGCTAACTGCTGGTTCCCCTAGGTCTCTGTTCTTGCTCACAGAAAAAATTAACTTTTTTTCTTTTTATGGAGAAATTTTTACTATAGGATGCATGCACTCACAGCAGAGACAGAGCCAGAAAGTGAGAAATCACCCTCCAAGGAGGATGGCCACACTACAATCCCTTCTCTCCTCCATTCTCCTCTCAGGATTTTGGGCACATACCCGGTGTGAGTTTCAAGCCACCGGGTCTGGAATCAAACCACAGTCAACCACGTGGGAGTCCAGCATTTTAACCACTACACCACCTGCTGTCCCCTAAACATTTTTTTTTTTAGGAATTATTTTATTGGGGCCAGCAAGTTGCATAGTGGTTAAGGGCCTGGGACTCCCACAAGGCAGACCACAGTTCAAGTCCTGGACCCAGTGGCTTGCTTTCTTGTTTTCTATCTCTCTCGCTCTCTCTCACTCTGTTCCACTCTGGTCAAATTAAAATTAATTAATTAGTTAATTAAAGTTCAATGAAATAATATTTTTTAAAAAGACTATTTTAATTTGACCAGAGAAGGGCATAGTGAAAGAGAGAGAGAGAAAGTAAGACAGTAAGCCGCCAGGTTTGGGACTCGAACTGCAGTGGAGGGCATGTGTGCTTGCCACAGAGACAGAAAGAGACAGATAGAGAGAAAGCAAGAAATCACCCCCCCAGGGTGGATGACCATGCCACAATCCCTTCTCCTCCATTCTCCTCTTGGGATTTTAGGCACATATGCACACGTGCCCAACGTGAGTTTGAAGTCACTGGGTCCAGGACTGGTCTAGGACTCGAACCACCATCAACTACATGGGAGTCCAACAATGAAACCATTATGCCAGCTGCTGGTCCCAAAGTAAGTGAGTATTATTTTTTTTAAAAGAAAAAATATATATCTTAGGACAATAGGTGGCATGAGGTTAAGGTGGCTGGGTTCTACATGGCCAATTTCATGGTTCAAGGCCTGGACCATGGAAAATCACACTGGATGGGGGGCCAGCAGATGGTTTGGTGGTTAAGGTGCTGGACTCCCACATGGCTGACCGCAGTTAGAGTCCTAGATCTATGACTTGTTTTTTCACTTTCCCTTTCTCTCTCTGGTCAAACGAAAAAATAATAAATTAAGGGACCAGCAATTAGCGTAATGGCTATGTCACTGGACTCCCATGTAGTCGACCGTGGTTCGCATCCCAGACCCGGTGGCTTAAAACTCACGCTGGACGCGTATGCGTGCGTGCCCAAGATCCTGAGAGGAGAACGGAGGAGAAGGGATTGCGGCATGGCCATACCCCCTGGGGGGTGATTTCTCGCTTTCTGTCTCTCTCTCTCTCTCTGTCTGTCTGGCGAGTACACGTGCCCTATAGCAAAAACCTCCCCCCAAATAATTAATTAATTAATTAATTATATTATATTAAATAATTATTTTATTGAATTATTTTATTTAACTTTATTGTTATTTTTTACTAGACAAAGTGAGAGACAGAGAGAGAAAGAGAGAGAGAAGGAAAGTGAGAAAGAAAGCTACCAGGTCCAGGGCTCAAACCGCAGTCAGCCATGAGTCCAGCGCCCTTAATCACCTCGCCACCTGCTGGCCCTAATAATTATTTTTATTAAAAAAAGAAAAAGAAGAAGAAAAGAAAGAGAAGAAAATAAACAAAAAGAAAAGAAAAGAACAGAAAAGAAAATCATCCTGGACACATATGCATGCATGTCCAAAATCCCTAAAAGAGAATGGAAGAGAAGGGATTGTGGTGTGGCCTTCTCCCCTAGTGGGTGCTTCCTACCCTCTCTCTGTGTGTTTGGTGCCCAAAAACAAAAAAAAAAAAAAAAAAAAAAAAAAAAAAAAAAAAATTCATTCATTTATTTATTTATTTAGGAGAGGTTTTTGCCATAGGGTGTGTGCATTCACCAGAAAGACAGAGACAGAGAGACAGAAGGTGAGAAATCACCCCCCAGAGGGGTTGGCCATGCCACAATCCCTTCTCCTCCATTCTCCCCTCAGGATCTGGGGCATACACACGTACCCGGCATGAGCTTAAGCCACTGGTCCAGGACTCGAACCACGATTGACTATATGCGAGTCCAGCGACACAGCCATTACGCTAACTGCTGTTCCCTATTTGTTTTATTTATTTATTTATTTATTTTTGGAGAGGTTTTTTTTTGCTATCAGGCGTGTGTGCTCGAAAGACAGAGAGACAGAGAGGTAGAAAGCGAGAAATCACCCCCCAGGGGAGATAGTCATGCCACAATCCCTTCTCCTCCATTCTCTTCTTGGGATCTTGGGCACGCATGCACACGCGCCCAGCATGAGTTTAAGCCACCAGGTCTGGGACTCGAACCGTGGTTGACTACATGGGAGTCCAGTGACATAGCCATTACACTAACTGCAGTCCCACAGTTGTTTTATTTTTTTAAGAGAAATTTTTGGTATGGGGTGGTGCATGTGCTCACCAGAAAGAAAGCGAGAAATCACTTCCCAGGAGGGTTGGCCATGCCACAATCCCTTCTTCTCCATTCTCCTCTTGGGATTCTTGGGCATGCACGCACATAAGCCCAGTGCAAGTTTTAATGCTGCTGGGTCTGGGACTCAATCTGCAGTCAACTACATGGGAGCCCAATGACGTTACACCAGCTGCTGGTCCCTAGTATTTTTTTAAAAGAGAGACTTTTTTTTTTTTAAGATTTATTTATTTATTTATTCCTTCATTATAGTTTGATCAGAGAGAGACACAGAGAGAGAGGAAAGTGAGAAAGCAAGCCACCAGGTCCAGGACTTGAGCCATGGTCCGCCATGTGGGAGTGTCCAGCGCCTTAACCACCACACCACCTGCTGGTCCCTAAAGAGAGACTTTTTTGCCCTAGAGTGCTTACACTTACCAGAGAGAGAAAGAAAGAATGAGAAATTACCCCCCAGGGGAGATGGCCACACTGCAATGCCTTCTCCTCCATTCTCCTCTCAGGATTTTGGACATACAAGCACATGGGTCTGAAGTAAGTTTCAAGCTGCTGGATCTGGGACTTAAACCATAATTGACCATGCGCGAGTCCAGCGACATTAACCATTATGCCATCCGCTGGCCCTGAAAGTTATAAATTCTATTTTATTTTATTTTTAAAAAGATTTATTTATTGGGACCAGCAGTTAGCGTAATGGCTATGTCGCTGGACTCCCATGTAGTCAACCGCGGTTCGCGTCCCAGACCTGGTGGCTTAAAACTCACGCCGGGCGCATGTGCGTGCGTGCCCAAGATCCCGAGAGGAGAATGGAGGAGAAGGGATTGTGGCATGGCCATCCCCCCTGGGGGGTGATTTCTCGCTTTCTGTCTCTCTGTCTCTCTCTGTCTGGCGAGTGCATGCGCCCTATGGCAAAAATCAGTCAAAAAAAAGATTTATTTATTTATTTATTGTCATTGTTTTTCAATTTGACCAGAGAGAGAGAGAGAGAGATGAAGTGAGAAAGCAAGATGCCAAATCCGGGACTCAAACTGTGCTTGGCCATGTGGGAGTCTAGTGCCCTTAACCACTATGCTACCTGCTAGCCCCAAGAGTTATAAATTTTATTTTATTTTTTATTTTTTTTAAGAATTATTTAATTTTATTTATTGCCATTATTTTATTTTATGTTTTTGAAGTTGACCACAGAGAGAGAGAAGGAAAGTGAGAAAACAAGCCAGGTCCAGGACCGGAACCAAGGTCAGCCATGTGGGAATCCAGCCACCTTAACCACCACACCACCTGCCAGCCCCAAGAGTTATAAATTTTAAAGCCCCTTTCTAGATAAGCATATAGGTCAAAGAAAAAATCATAATGGAAATTTAAAAATACTACAGAACAAAACTTGTAGGAGATGGCCACAGTGATATTTCAAAGGCAATGTGTACCCTTAAAATGCTTACACTGAAAAATTTGAAAAACTGCAAATTAATGAGCTCTGCCAACTTAAAAAGTTAGAAAAGGAACAACAGAACAAACTTAAAGAAAATAGAAAGAAGCATATAATAAAGATAAAAGCCAAAATCAATTAAGTAGAAAACAGTGATAAAATAGGGAGGATAAATAAAGCCAACAGTTGTTTTGCAGAAGCTACACAAACCTCCGATAAGAGTAATAAAGGAAGATTGAGCGCGGTGCAAATAAAATTAAATAAAAAGGTAGACCTAACTATAGAAAGAGCATTGATTAAAAAAATGAGACTACTATCTACAATTTCATGCCAAGAATTTTGAAAATACAAACAAAATAGACAAATTTTTACAAAAACAAAACAAAACAAAAGAATAATTAACTTACCAAAACTGAATCAAGAAGAAATAGAAAGTCTGAGTGGTCCTATTAAAGAAATGGAATCAGTAATTAATCTTTCCATAAACAAAACAAAACAAAAACAGCACGCCAGACAATTTTATAGGCAAGGGACAGATCTTTCAATAACAGATCACTGGGACCAGCAGTTAGCGTAATGGCTATGTCGCTGGACTCCCATGTAGTCGACCGCAGTTCGCGTCCCGGACCCGGTGGCTTAAAACTCACGCCGGGTGCGTGTGCGTGCGTGCCCAAGATCCTGAGAGGAGAATGGAGGAGAAGGGATTGTGGCGTGGCCATCCCCCCTGGGGGGTGATTTCTCACTTTCTCTCTCTCTGTCTACCTGGCGAGCGCACGCACCCTATAGCGAAAACCTCTCCAAAAAAAAGAGAACAGATCACTGAAATTTTATACATAATTTTCCAAAAAGTAGAAAACAAAAATAAAAAAAAACCTTTTCTATGCTTTCTATAAGGCAAGTATAACCTTGATTCTAAAACTAGACACAGACAAAGGAGAATTATGGGCCAATCTCTTATGGACATAAGTACAAAAATCCCAAAGTACTAGCAAATTATAGTAGTTTTTTGTTTTTTGTTTTTTGTGTTTTTTTTGAGAGGTTTTTGCTATAGGGCATGTGCACTTGCCAGACAGACAGAGAGAGACAGAGAGACAGAAAGCGAGAAACCACCCCCCAGGGGGGATGGCCACGCAGCAATCCCTTCTCCTTTCTCCTTTCAGGATCTTGGGCATGCAAGCACGCGTGCCCGGCGTAAGTTTTAATCCCCCGGGTCAGGGACTTGAACTGCAGTCGACTACATGAGAGTCCAATGGCATAGCCATTACGCTAACTGCTGGTCCCCTATAGTAGATTTTAAATGGCCACAAAGAGACAGAAAGCGAGAAATCACTCTCCAAGGGGCGATGGCCACACCACAATCCCTTCTCCATTCTCCTCTTGGGATCTTGGGCACGCATGCACACGTGCCCAGCATGAGTTTAAGTCACTGGGTCTGGGACTCGAACCATGGTTGACTACATGGGAGTCCAGTGACATAGCCCTGCTGATCCCTAAATGGCCACAAATTTTTGACAGCTCCTCCAATTAAGAAGGAATATAGGGGAACCAGCAGATGATGTGGTGGTTAAGGTGCTGGACTCCCTAATGGCCGACTGTGGTTTGAGTCTCTTCCTCTCTTTCTCTGGTTAAATGGAATGATAATAAATAAATAAATAAAATTAAATAAATCTTTTTAAAAATAATTATTTTGTTTAACTTTCTTTCTTTCTTTCTTTCTTTGACTAGAGAGGGACAGAGTAAGTGAGAGAGAGGGAGGAAAAGTGAGAAAACAAGTCACTGGGTCTGGGATTCAAACTGTGGTCCACCATGTGGGAGTCCAGCACCCTTAACCACCATGCCATCTGCCAGTCCCTAAATAATTTTTTTAAATTATTTATTTTATTTTATTTATTCATTCATTTGTTTTAATTTGACCAGAGAGAGACAGAGAGAGAGAAAGAGTGAGAAAGCAAGCTGCCAGGTCTGCGACTTGAACTGTGGTCAGCCATGTGGGAGTGTCCAGCACCTTAACCACCACGCCACCTGCTGGCCCCAATAAGTAATATTTTTAAGAAAGAAGAAAAGGTATCTAGGGACTAGCAGATGGCATAATGGCTATGTTACTGGACTCCCATGTGGTTGACCATGGTTTAAGTGCCAGACTTGGTAGCTTAAAACTCATGCTGGACACGTGTGTGTGTGTGTGCCTAAGATCTGAGAGGACAATGGGGGAGAAAGCATTGCAGTGTGGCCATACTCCGGGGTGATTTCTCACTTTCTGTCTGTCTCTCTCTATCTCTCTGTGAGCACATGCACCCTATAACAAAAATCTCTCTTAAAATAAAAAAAAAAAAGAAGGAATCTTTTCTGGGGCCAGCAGGCAGCGTGGTAGTTAAGGCACTGGATTCCACATGGCTCACTCTCTAATTCGAGTCCCGGGTCCAGCAGCCTGAAAAACATACTGGGCATGTAAGTATGTGTGCCCAGAATCCCAAGTGGAGAATGGAAGAGAAGGAACTGTAGCATGCATACTCCCAGGGGGTGATTTCTTACTTTCTATCTCTCTGGCAAGCACGCATGCCTTTGTGCCCTGTAACAAAACTAAAATAAAATTTAAAAAAAAAGAAATATTTATTGTTTTTTACATATAGATTTAATGTTTTTTTGCCAGCCAAAAGATAGCATAGCAGTTACATTGCTTACTCCCACATGGCCAACTGAGGTTCGAATCCCAGACCCTGTGGCTTCAAAATCGCGCCAGGCATGTTTGTGCCCAAGATCCTGGAGGAGAATGGAGGAGAGGGGATTGTGGCATGGCCTTCCCTCCGGGGGTGATTTCTCATTTTTCTTCTTACTGTCTCTGTCTCTCTCTGTTGAACTCAAGCACCCTAAGGCAAAAATCTCTAAAAAAAATAATTGGGGGCGGGGCCAGCAGGTGGCATGGCGGTTAAGGAACTGAACACTCCCACATGGCCAACCACAGTTCTAGTCCTAGACCTGGGGGCTTCCTTTATCACTCCCCCTCCCCCCCGTATGTGTGTGTATCTTTCTCTGGTCAAATTAAAATAAATGAATGAATAAATTAAATTAAATTAATTCTTTTTTTTGGGAGAGGTTTTATTTTTTTGCTATAGGGTGCATGCGCTCACCAGAAAGACAGAGACAGAAAGACAGAAAGTGGGAAATCACCCTCCAGGGGTGATGGCCACGCCACAATCCCTTCTCTTCCATTCTCCTCTCGGGATCTTGGGCATGCATGCACATGCACCCAGCATGAGTTTAAGCCACCGGTTCCAGGATTCGAACCACGGTCGACTACGTGGGAGTCCAATGACATAGCTATTATGCTAACTGCTGGTCCCAAATTAAATACATTCTTTAAAAAAAATTTTTTTGGTTGCCATAGGGTATATGCACTTGCTAGAGAAAGATAGAGAGAGAGGGAAAATGAGAAATCACACCCAGCAGCCGCAGCCATGCTGCAATTCCTTCTCCTCTATTCTCCTCTCAAGATTTTGGGCACGCACACACATGCACCCTGTGTGTTTCTCCAGCCACCAGAACCGGGACTCAAACCACTCAGTCAGCCATCTACAATACAGCTGCTTTAACTTCTATGCCACCTACTGGCCCCAAGGAGGAGTTTCTTTCTTTCCTCTCAATCTAGGAGGGTCTATGATTACTGTGATGAATAGAATGTGGCAGAAGTGGCAATAAGTGACAGGGTCTCACTAGGTCACCGTCCTCCTGCCTCAACCTCCCTAGGTGGGACTACAAGCCTGTGCTACTATGCCTGGCTTTTAGGGCGGCCCTACCTGGACTCAAACTCAGACCTCCCAGATAGCCTCAGCTGCCAAGTAGCAGCAGCAATCAGCAGGCCCTATGGTGGCTGGTCCACTTTGTGATTTTTGCCTCAAGAAACCTTAAAGTTTCTACCCTCACCCACCTTGAATGCTATTTGCATCTGAACAAGCCTAAACTAGCATTCCTCAGAGGCCATGTGGATAAGAACTAAGGTATCCCAACTGGCAGTTCACTAAGTGCCAGGCAGTAGACTCTCCTTGGTCATCATTGGCCCTCTTCAAGCCACCAGCCAGCCTTAGCCACGTGACACATCCAGGACGGATCAGTGGAACAATCAGCTGAACCCAGCCCAAATTGCCCTCCCACAGAATTGTCAGCAAAAAAATAAATAAGTGGTTGTTGGGGCCAGGCCCGCAGCTGACTGGTTAAGGGAATCAAAATTTAAATGGCCCCCAATTTTTTTTTTTTGGAGAGGTTTTCGCTATAGGGCGCGTGCGCTCGCCAGAAAGACAGAGAGAGACAGAGAGATAGAAAGCGAGAAATCACCCCCCCGGGGGGGATGGTCACGCCACAATCCCTTCTTCTCCATTCTCCTCTCGGGATCTTGGGCACGCACGCACACGCGCCTGGCGTGAGTTTAAGCCGCCGGGTCTGGGACGCGAACCGTGGTCGACTACGTGGGAGTCCAGTGACGTAGCCATTACGCTAACTGCTGGTCCCAATGGCCCCAAATTTTACATGGCCCACTCAGTTCAAACCCAGGCCCAGTAGCTTGAAAACGCGCCCGGGAATGTGTGCCCCAAATCCTGACAACATGGAGAGACGACAGAGAAGGAACTGTGGCATGACCAAACTCCATTGAAGGTACTTTCTCTCTCTCTCTCTGTCTCGTCATCTCTCCCTGATTAGCATATGTGCCCTCTGGCAATTAAAAAAATAAAGTTGCTTTTCTAAGCCACTACACATTGGGGTTGGTTTCTCCTATAGTAATAGCTAACTGATATCACAAATAAAGATGATTTGTCAAAACAAAGTTGGATTTGTTCTAAGAATACTAGGATAGTTCAACATGAGAAAAAAATCTTTCATGTAATTATTTCAATAACATATTAAAGGAGAAAAAATAACCATCTTAGTAAATGCAGAAAAGAATAGGATGAAATTCAACAATCATTCATTCTAAAATCTAAGCCTCGGCAATTAGGAATAGAAGCACTCTTCCTTGGGACCAGCAGATGGCATAATGGTTACATTGCTGGACTCCCACATAATTGACTGTGGTTCGAGTCCCAGACTTGGTGACTTAAAACTCATGCTGTGTGTGTATGTGTGCATGCCCCAGATCCCAAGAGAAGAATGGAGGAGAAGTCATTGCAGCGTGGCCATCCCCCTTGGGGGATGATTTCTCACTTTCTGTCTCTGTCTCTGCAGCGAGTACACGCAACCAAGCAAAAATCTCTCTCAAAAAAAAAAAAAGAAGAAGGAATCTTCCTTAGCCTGATAAAGAATATCTTCCAAAGGCGAGCAGGTGGTGTGGAGGTTAAAGCAGCTGGATCCCATATGGCGGACAGCGCAGACTGAGTCCTGGCTCCAGCAGCTTGGAAATCACTCTGGAGGGTGTACATGTGTGTCCAAAATCCCAAGAGGAGCCTAGAGGAGAAGG